AACCTAAAAGGGATTTTTGCATCAGGAAGATGCCACAGTTTGTGGTCCCTAAGGAGTAAAGTGTCTTAACAGCAAATGGCTCAATCAATATTTTATCAAATATTTTTCTTACTCTGCTTTTGGTTTGATTTATAGAGTTTATTTTGTTACAATATTTTTGCAAGTATAAGAAGATGATTGGGAATGGAAGTTCGAAAAATATGGATTCCAGAAAGGAAAAAAAAACATGATTAAATAAAAAAAAGAAGTAGGTTTGAGAGTAACTGAGTGACATCATTCTGAGTTCAGGTAGAGGCTCTTCCTTGGCCTCTCATTGGCTGAACCTTCCTTTGACCTGTGTGTTGCTCTGTTATCATCGACTCAATCTCACAAAGTAAATTACAGCTATTTTCTTTGTGAACTTATATAGAGCCACTGAAGCAAAGGCGTGTGAATGAGAACATCAGTTCACTCATTTTCATTTCAAATGGTTTCTAGGTGAAACGCTGTGGTTTATTGGTCAGAGGTGCCTCATTTCCTGATGCTATGCTATACATTTAGAAGGCCCACATATCTTAAGCAGATCTATGGACAAAAAAAAGGTTAGTTATGAAATGTGTGTTAATTTTTACTACTAAAACACTGAATTGCTCAAAATAATACATCGTTTTTTCAATATTGAAGCATGAAAACTTCATACAGAAGGATACAAAAAAGTGAGAACAGCCACTTTATGATCAGGCACTTCCTGTTTGTTTTAGCCGACAAAAAGAAAGTCTCATGCCTCGTATCGCTCTCTGTCGCTAGTTTCTGTGGGATTGGCTCATTTGATACTAAAACTCTCTTTAGTTTAAAGGTAGAGACTTCTTAGCGAGTTTTGCTTCTTGAGATGTTTTATGTCTTTAATATTCAGATAATGCTGTATTTTCTCTGCTCTCCAGCTGTAATTACTTGACACCAGAGAGTCAATCCATCCCTCTTGTTTCGTTTCCTTGAAAGTGTTGCAGTGTTGCTTTATTTTAATACAAACGGTTGGAAGTTGTGTTTTCAGTGTGAAAATTCAAACCAAATATTGTGTTTCTCACTCAGCAAGAATTAATGAATTGAGTCTAAACTATTTAAATGGGAATTATAAAGCTTCACCTGCAGGGCAAACACTATTACTGGAGGGGTAGAAACTGATTGTCAGGAATTCATGAAACTTGAGGTCATGTTTTAAATACATCTTTTTGTCCAACATTGGATTATAACTTAAGTATTAAGAAATTTCATAGGGTTATTGAGGAGTATAAGAGTATACAGATCTGCTTTCCATGAAAACTTTGGTGTTTATAAAAATTCTATTCAATTTATTTCTATAGCACCATTTCACAACACATGTCGTCTCAGGGCACTTTACAGTTCAACCAGATCATCCAGTCAGATTGATTTAAAGTTTTCTATCAAAGGAAAACCAGTGGATTTCATTGACTCATTGATTCAAAGGCAATCCCTCTCACTAAGCATGCTTGTAGCGACAGTGGAGAGGAAAAACTCCCTTTGAACAGGAAGAAACCTCCAGCAGAACCAGACTCAGTGTTAGCGGCCATCAACTGAGGCCGACTGGGGTTCAAGAACGCAGAAGCAGACAAGAGGATTTTTTTAGCATGGTGAAAGTATCAGTGATGTGTTTTTATAGTTGGTTCATAGCTCATCCGGTTCATGGAAAGCATATAGTCTTTGTACCTCGTGGTTCAACACTTTTACCTGGATGTATGAAATCAGATTTCTGCCACACAAATTATCATAAGAGCAGTTTTATTCAAAACACAGATAAACTATGAGAATGTTCTATTCATGGTGCATGCTCCTCCTCTGAGCTCTCAGCTTGCTATTTATGCTCCTGTAGATCCTGTCCAGCCGACATGTGGACCTGTTTCTGTCCTCTCATGTCAACTTTTGTCAGTTTGAGGGAGGAACCTGTTACCACCCAATATGTACTGGAAGCATGATCTACACCAGTGAGTCCCACCTGGGGATACTCGTACCCCTAGTGGTCAATGGGTGCATTGCAAGTGGTCAGCGGTGTCTAAAGTTCACACATTTGTTACTTAAGTAGAAGTATAGATACTGTAGTTTAAAAACACTCTGGTAAAAGTTGAAGTATCAACTTGACCTCTTTACTCAAGTAAAAGTGAAAAAGGATGTGCTCCAAAAACTACCTAAAGTATAAAAGTATAAAGTAACCTTTAAAAAAAAGCCAGATGCAACTATATGAATTGAAAGCTCAATTTTTCGACTATTTTCGAATAATTCTCTGAGATAGATCCAAGGATGAGGGAGGTCTTGTTGGTCTCCGTCTCCCGATACGCTCTCGCCTGTGTCCGACCTTTCAGACATTTCAACATCTTTTTCTGAATCCGACATTGTAGCATGGCATAGACAGTTCATGTTTGCAGTTTGAAGAACACCTGCTTGCCCCTGATGATTTCCTTTAGCTAACCAATGAGTGTTTACATTATACGACTCATCCAATTACACTAGTTTTCACTAGATGTGGATGGCGCCAATGATCTGCATTGGATGGAGCACATGACATGAAATAAATATTTATAAACATTAAACTGAAGCCAAGAGTAACGTGTAACATTTGTTTTAAAAATGTAAGGAATAGAAAGTACAGATGTGTGAAAATGTAATGAGTAGAAGTCAGAAGTAGGAAGGAAACTAACTAATGGAGTATAGATACCTAAAAAGTGTACTTAAGTACAGTAACGAAGTATTTGTACTTACTTACTTGACACCTCTGCAAAGGGTACATGAAAATATTTCATTTCTTAGGTAGTAAAATAAAATAGGGCTTGAATGTATTTTCTCTGTGAGGACCCATTTAAAAAATTTGACAAACTTTTTTCAACAAAAAGTAAGTTTTTCTTATATATTTGAGTTCACCTTCAGCTTTGACACACATTAAAACCCAGCAGAGGAACAGACTGGATGTAGAGCAGAGCCTGGGATCAGCTGGTTTTTACACTCAGCTGTCAGCTTAGCAAAGCAGCTCAGGTGTCTCCATAAAAACACAGTAATACTAATTAAGTCAGTCCCACCATAACATTTGTTCTGTATTTTGTTCCCAATCCATCAAGTTTAAATGTATCTATAACTGAGTTACTCAGAGGAGCTCCAGTTTTATAAATACAGGTTTATAATATGATTTTATTTCGTATTTATTTATTCCTTACTAACTTCCAGGCAACAAATTTGTGTTAATTTTTTATCCAAGATGCAAAGCATAAAATGCTTTAGAATACATACTCCAGTTAAAAGATTGAGTACAATAGTTTTTTATTTTATAATCAGTTGTTGTACATTTTACTTTTGCAATAACCAAAGGGGTACACAAGTCAAAAAAGGAATTCATTCCAGTCGGATCAAATGTGAATAAATGTACCTAATTTCCTTCATTAAACTACTAAAGTAAAGCTATATTAAACTACACCGCACAAAATATAAAGTAGTTTTGCTGAAAGACTAGATGTGTTTACATTCTCTCTTTCATCATTGGTCATCATTGGATGTGCTCAGAGCTGTTTGGCAAAATACGATCGAATGTTTATTTGTATTTTACTTGTGTCATTCTTTACATTATCCACTATATACTGCACAAGTACAACTAAATGAAAACTGAAAACCAAAATTATTTACAAATCAAAAATGGACTGACAGAAGTAGGGGAGAGAAAGACAATTTATACAACAGAAAGGATGTAAACTCAGTTATTTCATCAGCAAAGTAGTTAATACCGGTAACATTTTACACAATCTACTCGTGTATGTTTTTGGTGATTTGTGATATCTGTAAGTAATTTTTTATTTTTTTTCATATAGTGCAATCAATTGATTAATTGATTGATTTTATTAATCTCACAGCGGCGAAATTTAATCATTACATCGGCTCAATAGTCAAAGAAGAAGGTGCAAAAGAAAGAAAAAGGTGCATGGGATATATACAGTATATACAGTGCGTCCAAATATGAAAGATTTTTTTATACTTAGATTATTAAACAGGGTTATTGCACAGGGAATTTGCATGTGTAATTATATAGATGGATATTTATATATATATATATATATATATATATATATATATATATATATATATATATATATATATATATATATATATATATATATATATATATATATATATATATATATAAACAGGTTATTGCGCAGACTATCAAATATTAATTGCACATTATACATTGCTGAGTTATTGCGGTTGTAGTGTTGCATTGTGGATACTGGTTGCAGCAGGGATGAATGACCTGTGGTAGCACTCCTTTTTACCAACAAGGTGTAAAAGTCTTTCACTGAAGGAGCTGCTCAGCTCCTCTACAGTCTGGTGCAGATGGTGAGAGGTGTTGTCCATGATGGATGGAAGCTTGGTCCAGAGTGCAGCCTTGGACAGAAACGGTGTTTCTTACCAGGTTGTTCAGTCTCTTTCTGTCCCGCTCTACGCTGCCAGGGGCCCAGCAAACGACAGAGTAGAAGACGGCTGATGCTACCTCAGAGTCTTAGAAGGTTTTAAGCAAGGGCCTGCTTGATGTATTTCAGTTTGCTCATAGGCCAACAAGCTGACTGTACAGATATATGATACCATGATGACAGAGCTAATCGCAGAACAAGGGCTGCCTATGATTGGCTGCTTTTAAGGAAATGTTTTCACATAATTAGCCGACCACTCTGAACCCTCACACAGAATTATATTGGAGTTTCCAGATAGTTAATCCAACCTAAATATGGCAAATCAATGGTAAATACGTGATGTCAGTGTGACATAGCCTTACGCAGATAGCAGAGCACTAAGCGTCCCATAGTTTTGGTCCTAATAGTCATGCTCTATTTAGAACAAGACTTCATCAAATATATCTTCCAATCTTTTTCTTTACATGAATTTTATAAAATACATATGTCAAAATTCACTGTTTGAGAAACATGTGAAGTTTGAAATCAACCGCTTCTTTCCTCTGTGTCTCCCAGCAGCGAGCTGAGTGCCCGACAGGACAAACGAGACATGGGGAAGCAGAACAGCAAGCTGCGTCCTGAGGTGATGCAAGACCTGCTGGAGAGCACCGACTTCACTGAGCATGAGATCCAGGAGTGGTATAAGGGCTTTCTGAGGGACTGCCCCAGCGGGAACCTCTCCATGGAGGAGTTCAAGAAGATTTACGGCAACTTCTTTCCATACGGAGATGCTTCCAAGTTTGCTGAGCACGTCTTTCGCACTTTCGATGCTAATGGTGATGGGACAATAGATTTTAGGGAGTTTATAATCGCTTTAAGTGTGACATCACGTGGCAAGCTGGAGCAGAAGCTGAAATGGGCCTTCAGTATGTACGACCTGGACGGGAATGGGTACATCAGTAAATCTGAGATGCTGGAGATTGTGCAGGTCAGTGTCTCTGTGGAAAACAACACACACACACACACACACATAGCATTGTTAACCAGTTTATAATGTTTAGGGGACACATACACACACACACACACAGCGTTGTAGCCAGAACATTTTTATAGGGGTGGCCAGGCAGGGACTAATCCACAGAATGGTGTCCGAAAGCAGACAGGCTCCAGATCATCACAGACATTCTACACTTTTCCAACAGGAAAATGAACAAACACATCATCAGTATTTTCCAAATAAAGACTAGCTAGATTTTATGAAAGCCTTTACTAATAAATAAATGTGTTAATTTACAATTACATGTTGTCTAAATACAGGGTATAGTAAACAATCAGCTTTAAGTTGTGGTAGTAGCATAAATCTATTGTAATTTCTTGCCTGCATTTCTGGGCTAAAATTTCCACTATACTTTAATCCATAATTATTGTGCATAATATAAATACTTACATATACCAATACCTACATTATATGGAATAAGTTGTTTTTTTCATTTCTAATTGCATTAAAGACTCTTAGATTACTTCAAATTCTCATAGCCTTTCTCCTTTCCCATAAAACAAAAAAACTTTTTCTAAAAAGAGTATGAATTCAATATTTACCATCTTAGATGTTACTATATTGATTTGAGTCACAAATTATTGTAATTTTGGTGTCGGTTTATTGAAACAATTAAAATATCAAATTTGTTAGAGCACTCCGCTTTAAAATATTACTCTTTGTGAATTATGTCCACATGGGATCGCCTGGTAGTGGTGGCCATAGGGGTGACCAATGATTGGCTATGGGTGGCCACCCTCTTCTATAGCTCTGCCCCTGCACACACACATATATAATAAACACAACTTTGGTTGGGACCAGAACTGTTAGCCAACATTGCTGCAGCCTAAGTTTGACTCGTTCAGCTAGTATTTTAAGAACAGGATATACAGCTCAGCCCCCGGAAAGAGACAGGAAGTTCTTAAAGACATGGAGCAGGATGGGAGTCTTCCTGCCACATGGCTTCTGAAAGATAACTCAGTAAGTCTGTATATGTCTTCCAGTGGAGGAGGGACTGGATGGATGGATGGATGGATGGATGGATGGATGGATGGATGGATGGATGGATGGATGGATGGATGGATGGATGGATGGATGGATGGATGGATGGATGGATGGATGGATGGATGGATGGATGGATGGATGGATGGATGGATGGATGGATGGATAGGAAATACAGTTTTTATTATTTTAACATGCTATACTGTTGTGTAGTTGAAACAAGAAATGAAAGGACATATTTGTGACACTCTTTTGAATTTCTAACATTTCTTTGATGTTCTTCAGTCTTTTATATCAATCAAAAGCTTAAAAAATACCCATAAAGTTCAATTCAACTCAATTTATGTATATACAGTGATCCCTCATTTGGCGTTACATTCCCAAAAGACTTATTTACAATTATTATTAAAATCTTGTTCAGGCTCACATCTCCCTTCCTCAATGATCGCAAGAGGAGGTCTCACCGTGCAGATAAACATTTTTAAGTCCAAAACATTTCTTACATTTTTCAAACCAGCCCTTGCTAGCATTAAATGTGCTTGGTAATGCATGAACAGCACTTTTTGATGACCCGGTATTTACATCCTCCTACTCTTCCCTGTCATGACTGTCATCGCTCTCAGTTTGATACAGTGTTCTAGCTTTAGTGCAGATGACATTCATACCAGCGTAATGTTCTTTTTTCTGCTTTTATTAGTCCAGAAAACGCAAATGCAGATTCCATCTTTGCCATGGTCTTGTTGCGGACAGTTGCAACCCTTTTCGCATCTTTATTAATTAAAACTTATACCTGCTGCCATCCTTATTCCATTATTCAATTATTTTCTTCCTTCTTTATGGAACGAACGTAAGATTCATTAATTCCGTAATGGTGACCTACAGCTGCATAGCTTCTAACCTTCTTTTGCATGGTCTGAAGTTTTTCTGCAATCCTTAGAATTTTCTTCAGCCTTTTGGACCCATCTGCAAGTGCCTTGGTCGGTGCAGAACGTTTTGTCGACATTATGGTTTTTACAAACTTAAATCTGACAAGACTTAGACAAACTTTGTCATTTTGTATTTAAAAAACCATGGTGAAAAAATGTGCATTGATATGATCAGTTTGAGGCAAACAGACCATATATGACGAGCTGTTTTATGTACATGTATATGTATATTAAACCGTAACGTTACTGACACATTATTGGTAGAAAAGATGCATGGAGACTGTTCAGCCAATCAGAATGTAGGACACGATGCCCAATGCCAATCTGTGAAAGGTGAACCGCATTATAGCGTAACTGTAGCGCCAATTCACCACTCGTCATCTCCAGGCTCTTTACAGAGACAATTCAACCAGATCATACAGTCAGATTGGTTCAAAGTTTTCTAGATTTGTTTTTAAATGGCACTACCTTTTTTAATCCAACATCCACTATCCAGCCTTGAAAGATTAAAGCAATATCCAGCCTTAGTAATTCTTTTTCCAAAAACCTGGTTTGGGAAGATATAAACTTAACTAGTTTTTAATGTGAATGACAGCTTAAAAAATAACGAAAAAGCCCAAATTAATATGACATTCCTGCTGATAATGAGTGCATGTAAGCTTGTGTGCGGATGAGTAGATTAGGTTATTAGATTATAGGAGGATTGTTCCTGAATGGTCTATGACCCTGATATTCAATTAGATCAAATTTTCTAACATTACACCACCTGAGAAGTAAACGGAAAGCTTTAATTAGCAGTTCTACTGTAAAGACTTCAACATTCTGCTTACTTTCCTGTTGTGTTTTTAAATGTTTGCAAAGACAAAACCACAAAGACTCAGACTGACTCAGAGGCTTTGTGCCAGACTTAGTCACTCAAAGGTCAAATAACAATGATTTTTTTTAACAAGTAGTGATCAGTCCAGTAACACCGATGCCTCTGTGCATGCGTCGAGCCCGTAGAGCAAAGCACTGTATCTGTGCACGAGTCATTTCAAGAAAGTCATGTTAGACTGAAACACTAAACTGTATAAAAAGCATCTCTCTGCAGGATGCAACTGCTACAAAAAAATGTCTCATCTTTTTTCTGTTTATAATTGAAATTATCAAGAATTTTGCAGCAGCCTAAAAGGAATAGGAACGTTTCAGGCGTTGCGTTTTTATTTTAATTTTCAGCCTTTTCCTCTTAGTTATCACTCAAATTATCTGAATTAAAGTTACTTTCAAATTAACTCTTAGTTTATTTACATTTTTTTACTCAACATATTATTAAAAAAAAATATGAGTATCAATGCAGTTTGGCTTCAAGATGCCTCATTAACCTATCACTATCAACAAGGGGGCGAGGTTGCTTGAGGACCCAAATGCAGAGATAAGTTCTTCTAAGTTTAATGAAGCAAAATCCAAATAAAAAATACAAGAACCAAAAACATCAGCAAACGTCAGGGAAAAACTCACGTGGGGAGCCAGAGATAAAGAAGCAACCTAATAAAAAGGAACCAGCACTGAGTGACTGCAGAGGTGGAGTATATAAGGGGAACAGAACAAAGGATGGACTAATGAGCTGAATAAGGAGCAGGTGTGAATGGAACTAACTAGAAGGAAGCCAAGGGGAAAGGAAACAAGCACAAGGGGGCAGCAGAGAGTAACTAAAGACTGCTTGAATATAAATAAACCAAAGGTCAACGAAACAGAATAACTGAAATGTAAAAACTCAGAGTCCAAAAACGGGAGAACCATAACAGCTTTAGGATTTGCTATTTATGCAATTAACTAGCAAAAGTTCCTCTCTTGGTCCAGTTGTAACTCACATGGAGGAGCTTGGGTCTGTTTACTTCCTGGATAAAGTGGATAACTTTAGTTAGAGCGCAGGAGCTTTAGATTTCTCCTTTAATCTTAGGAGAGCAAATTGATCTTCCTTTGTACGGATGCAAATTCCTCTCAATTTTCTAATTAATGTGGATTCATAAAATGCTTCATTATCAAAATAAACATTCATTTTACAACTTTAAAATACAATTTAAAAAGAAATAATCTAAACTGCTTTTTCATTTGGTACATATCCAGCTGTAAATTTAGTTCATAACACTAGTTATCTATATATATATTCATCTATTAGTAAGATTCTGTTTATAATGGTATTCATCTCTATACTTATTCAGTAGAAACCCATGTCCTGTATTTATGGAACCATTATTTATCCTGCACTTGCTGCTATTGCACTTCTGGTTAGACCTAAACTGCATTTCGTTGCCTTGTACCTGTACCTGTGTAATGACAATAAAGTTGTAATCTAATCTAAAAAAAAATGTCCTTCCTCAAGATCGATCAGCTTGTAAATTAATCTGCATCTATCAATCTACATTTCCATCAATAAAAATAAAATAACATTTTGTCCTTGATTTTCAAAATATCCCATCCAGGGCTCGATGTTAACCATCGCCCGATCGCCTGGGGCAAGTAGTTTTTGTTGTTGGGAGAGTACAAATTTCATTACATTTGCCTGCCGGGCAAGTGCAATGATTGCAAAAAAAATTATTTATCACTCAAAATTACTTTAAAATCACCGACATTCAATGAAAACGACCCAGAAGTTGCCGGCGCCATTTTTTTGTTATGTACACATTCTCGTGTGATTTGAAAAAGCCGGGTGATTTTCCGCCAGATGGCTTGATTTTTGTCCACCTAGCGGTAATTTTGATGTAGTTACCAAAACAACAAACGGCTGCATTTATTTTGTCAGGGAAAACTAATCCTGAGTCAGTTAAAAGTCAGGGAATTCTGAAATTACGTAAGACTGTGGAAACCCTGTATAAAATAACTATGTATAATGATTCTCTAGAAAAGTCACATTATATTAATAGTATTATCTTGTATAAACATACTGTGACTCTAAAATAAAAGTTATTCATTTGTGACAATGACTTCCGTCTTGTGATTTATCTTAAGTATTTTAACTGCCAAGTTTTTTTTTTAGATTTTAAA